AAGAAAGAAACTGAGAACCAGAAGTTAAGGATTTGCTCAAGCCTCACAGCCAACATTTGAGACTAGACTTAGTACCGTGCATTGTTATAGGAAAGTTCAAAATCCCTGCTCTATTCCTCAGCTGAATTTTTGGGCAAGTCATACCACCTCTCGAAGTCACAGCATTTTTACTTTACAATAGAGAAAATACTACCTCTTTCACAGAGTTGTGGTATAAACAGAATGAGCAGTTGCCATATGTAATCAATCTAGCACGGTTTCTTGGCCCATGAGAGGTACTCAATAAATATTATTTCACTGGCCCCTTTAATTCACTTCTGCAGTCAAATCTTGTTCAACTGCTCTCTTCCTAATCTGGACTACATCACTGGAGCTTGTTTTACAATTAGCTGTCTGCCTCCTCTTCTGGATTCCTCTGAGTTTTATCCATCCTTCACCCTGTCAACACTGGACCTATAGCAAATCTTTAGGGCATGTTACACCCCTCAATAAACATTTACTGAGCACTGCCATGTGCCAGACTATTGATGTAAATGTCATATTATTAGTCTTCATTTTCTCTGATGCAGCTGTTTACACTCTTAGATTTTTGGAAGAAGGGAACTGGAAGTGGCAGCTTTACCATAACAAAAAGGCTGGCTCCTGGTCCCAGCTTTCCCAAAATTCAACGTATGAACTTGGGCAAGTCATTTAAACTCTGAACCTCAATGTTCTCATCTATGATATGATAATATTCCCTACCTCCGAAAGCTGCAGTGGATTTTAAGAGAATCCATATAAATGTGTCTCTTAAACAGTGTTGAGAAAAACACATGTGGCCTTGTGGGAGAATCGGTGGGGAAGGTGCCTGGTAAATATGAGCTACGTCTGCCACAGGGAGTGAGGCAAGAGTAAAAACTAGTTTCAGTTCCTAATCTGATCCACTTCCCTTCATTTCACAGGTTAAAAAAAAAAAAAAAAAAAAAAAGGAGGCTTCCTAAAGAGAAGTGATTTGTCCAAGGTCATACAGCAAGTCAGTTGGAGTATCATAACTAGACCTTCTGTTATTTAATGACTCCCAGACTGGATTAGGCTTAGGAAAATTTCAAACTTCAACATGTTTAGGGTGAGTAAAGAAGCATCTCCAGCACCCTGCGCAGCTCTTTTCTACCACCTGCCATACTGCACTGTCAACATCTGTTTATGTGCACACAGCGTAGCTTTCCCAGTAGGTGGTGTGAGAAGAGGGAGAGGTGGAGGGCAGAGGTTCTGCTGAAAGGCATAATCAGATGGAGGCCTCCCAGGGAATCTTTTCAGCAAGGTGGCAGGGGCTACACGGACATCTGGAAGAGAGGCAAAAAGCATCCCAGCAGGCAGCCGCCTGAGGCAGATATGAGCAGACAGGTCACTGCACAGTGGTGAGTGCAGAACGCATTTGTAAGATAATCATCAATCAGATCTTTCCTGTCTTTTGTGCCAGTCACATAAATGATACAGCTGGGTAGCTCACTGTCTCCGTGACAAGCAATAAAGATGAAGGCCCAGGGACCATCTGAGAAGTCATCTCTGGTCCCAAGCTGCGGGAAAGAAGGAAACAACCCCTCTGAGGACTGGTATGAAAAACAAGGCTTTCAGTCTGATAGGCAGCAGAAAGAAGCACTAAGAAGCTAACTCCAGCTAGGAAAGAGGGGAGAGAATAGGAGAGAGCCCGAAAATACAGTAAGAGATCAACTCATTACATGCAGTAAACAAATGAATGAATGAGCCTCTCTCTTTCTCTCTCTCTTTTTTAAGATTTTGTTTATTTATTTCAGAGAAAGAGAAAGGGAGCACAGAGAGGGAGGGAGGGACAGCCGGAGAAGCAGACTCCCCGCTGAGCAGGGAGCTCAACACTAGACTCGATCCAGGACCCTAAGATCATCATTTGGGCTGAAGGTAGACAGACACTTAACCAACTGAACCAACCAGGCACCCTGAACTTCTCTTTTGTTTTTCTGGTTTGTTTGTTTTTTTTTTTTTTTAAGATTTTGTTTATTCATTTGACAGAGAAAGGGAGAGAACAAGCAGGGGGAGCAGCAGAGGGAGAGGGAGAAGCAGGCTCCCCACTGAGCAGAAAGCCTGACATAGGGCTTGATCCCAAGACCCTGGGATCATGACCCAAACTGAAAGCAGACACTTAACCAACTGAGCCACCCAGTCACCCCTGAACTTCTCTTTTGATAGAGCACAAATTGAGTCCGAGAGACCTGGACTGAGCCCTGGCTCTTTCAGCAGTTGTAAACCTTAGGCAGATCAGTTTTCTCATCTATAAAATGAGTTAATCAAAGACTTCCTGGTAAACTGTTGCAAGAATTAAAACCAATATATGAGAGAGTGCTTTATAAACCCCCTTTTTTTTTTTTTTTTTTTTTTGTCTGTCTGCTTCATGTTTTCTTCTACCAAGTCATTCTAGGTAGTAGAACTAGCTTAGGGTTCCAAATCAAACAAACTAGATTCAGTTTCCAGGTCTGTCACTTATTAGCTGTGAGACTTTGGCAAGAAATTTTACATGACTAAGACACAGTTTCCTCATTTGTAACACAAGCATTGTTGGGAAAATTACAGTCAATGTTGGTAAAGCATCTAGATAATATATGATATAGCAGGTGCTCAATAAACGTACTCCATCTTCTCATTGGGAACGTTTATTTAGTGAGGATAGGAAAGGAGTTGGGCAAATGTGGACCTCACCCCATTATATGCAAACTCCGCCCTAAAGCCACACTACTAACTTGTTTAATTCAACCTTTTCTTTCCAAAGATTTTATTTCTTTCTTTGACAGAGACACAGTGAGAGAGGGAAAACAAGCAGGGAGAGTGGAAGAGGGGGAAGCAGGTTACCCGCTGACCTGGGAGCCCAACGTGGGGCTGGATTCCAGGACCCTGGGATCATGACCCGAGTCGAAGGCAGATGCTTAGCAACTGAGCCACCCAGGTGCCCCTAATTCAACTTTTCTTTAGACATTCCCCAACCTAGTACAGTCAGCCTAGCCCAGCCCACCTCTTCACTATTTCCCCAAGTCTCTTTGAGCCACAGAAACTGTATCATAATAGCTACCATTTATTGCACACCTACTAAATGCCAGGCACTCTACTAAGTGCTCTTGATGCATTTTATCTTGCACAGAATGTAGGCACACCTGCATAATATTAGTGGCCTCTCTCTTTTGTACACTGCTTTATAGCTTATGAAGCTCTTTTCACCCATGTTACCATATTTGCTTCTTACAACAATTGAGGGGGGAGAGTGATGAGTGAATTGGAGGCAGGAGCACCAGCACAGGTCAATTGTTCACTGAATCAACATTCCCTGAGCATCTACTGTGCACCGCACCCCATTCTGTACTCTGGGGAGGTGGAGAGGAACTGTACGGAGTTCTGAGCTTAGGGGGTAAATCTTTTGAAACATCCTCTATGGGTTATTGCTATTTCTCTTCACATCATATTCCTTAAGAAACTGGAGACTTATTTACTGGACTGCAGATAATTTTTGAGTTTTGCCTTTTCCCATAGTGTTTCGTCCGATAGGAACACAACTCCTCCACTGCTGGCTAATTCCTTCATGACCAGAAAGACTTCCCTTACCCATCGTCTTCTGGCAAAATGTCTTCTCTGGCTAACACAATGTGGGATTTCCCACTACTATAGCCAGGGCTTTTCACGGTATTCCATGGTCTTTCTCCCTTTATATGCACAGAACAGGTGGACAGCCACCTATAAACACACTCCTTTTACTGTCCCCAACCCCTTTCCATCTGAATTTCAGGAAGTTGGGGTGGAGGGCCCTGTCGTTCTCCCACGCACCTCCACACCTGTATTAGCTTCTAGAGGCTGCCAACCTGCCCTCCCTAAAGTCCTTCCTATGTCTGGATTCAGTAACAGAGGCAGCCAGTGGACGAATTTTTCTGTCCAAAATTCTCTTGTCTGGGATCCCAGGTGGTGGTGTAACAGAGTTCAGCGCCTGCGCCCCCTCCTAGGCCTTCTGAGTAGCTAAGACAGATTTAGCACCTGGGTGTCTATGGACTCCGCACGGGTCCAATTATCTTTTCACCCTCACACAACCCACACCTGCCTTCCTCCCCAACCTAACCCAACACACCCACTATCCTAATCTCTCCAAGCTCCCAGACAGTTTATCCACCCCCAGCCGTCAGTGCCCCTCCACTCCCCACCCCTAGCCAGAACTCAGGCGCCCACTGCCCATATCCAAGGCCACTGCCTTCTCCCTCCACCAGCTCCCCGCCCCCTTCCTCTGCAGTCTGGGTAGACCCAGCCTTGCCTCCCACCTTCCCATTCTTGCAGGCTTCCCTCCTCCAAGCCCCACCCCCCCAGCCCCCACTCACGGTTATCCCCCGTGCCCGCGACAAGCTGGCCTCAGGCTCCACATCCCTTTCGCTCCTAGCTCTCGATTCACATGCCCTCGCCCTCTTCCCCTCTCCCCGACCAACACCCATCTCTGCCCAGCGCCCCTTTCCCTCATCACCTCACTCCTCTCAGCTCACCATGACCCCTGCAGACCCTGTCTACTGCCCTCCACGCCGCCCCTTGCCCTCGCTGTCCTCAGTGCCCTCGCTCAGCGCCCGCTTCACGCCTCTCGGCGGCCTGGCACCCCCTTCCCGCACTGCCCCTCTCGGTCCCTCCTTACATCTCCCCGCCCCCAACGCCTCATGTTTCCCCCCAGCAAGCCCCTACTGGGCTCCAGTGACCACCCCTTTCCCACCTGCCGCCGCCCCCTGCCCTCCGAGCACCCTTCGCCGTCCTCGCAGTCTGGTAGCCCCCCCCCCCCCTCAGCGCCCCTTCCCAGGCTACGCGCCTTTCTCCCGGCCATGGTGCCCCCTCCTCAGCGGCCTCCCCCAGCCCCTTATCCTCGGTGTCCCCTCCGCTGCCCGCACTCCTCAGCGCCCGCTCGCTGTCGCCAGTGCCCCGAACCGGGGTGGGTCCCAGATTCTCTCCGGGCGGGGTGCCCGAGCCGCGCCCCTTACCTGGGACTCCGGGCGCGGGACGAGAGGCTGGCTGCTGGTAAAGCAGCGGGACGGCGGACCTGGCGACACGCAGCAGAAGGCTCAGTCGGGTTCTCGGGCAGGGCGGTGCGGGGCGGTGCGAGCCCGTGCGAGTCTGTGCAGCTCGGGTCTAGCACCCACCTCGGCTACTTAGGGCTAAGGCTCCCGCTCCCGCTCCGCTCCGCTACCGCCGCATCCAGGCCCCACCCACACCCCGCCCAGGGGCGGGGTCCGTGTTCGCTCCGCCCCGGGCTCCAGCAGCAGGCAGGTGCAGGAAATTCGTTGTATCTTGGACCCGCCCCCTCCGCTCCGAGTTCGCCGATCTGTGGGTGACTACCGTGATTTGTCTTAATTGTCACATCTCATTCAACAGACTGACTGAACTTACTATGTATGGTCATCAGAGAGCTTTGATAATAATGTAGATGATGATGGGTATGCAGCTTTGCCATTTCCAAAGCACTCTTCTGTCCTATTGCTTCACACCCACAAAAGCCCAGGGAGAAAGGCAGAACCTGGGCCACTGACTACAAGAGGAAACTAAGTCAGAAACCTGGGCATTGTCCTCTAGTCTATGCACTCCTTCATTTCCCACATCCTATCAGTCTGGTAATAACAGCTCCTTAATATATCCTATCACTGCCCTTCCTCTCCATCTCCACAGCTCTCACCCTGGTTCAGACCTCATCACTTCTTGCCTGGACTAATGTAACCACCTCCTAATAGATCCCCCCACATACACTCTTCAATTCATCCTGCACACCAGCAGCCTGAGTGATTGTTCTAGATGTCACCATGTTACCATCAACCTTATTAAAACAAAACAAAATAAAAACTTCCAATGGCTCCCCCATTGCCAGCAGTAGCTTGGAGTGAGAAACTGTTATTGCCTTCATTAGGAAGTCCCAATTCTGTCAGAGGAGGCAGGTACAGGAGGAAATTTGATCTTCCATCCTAACTTGGACTTCACTTTAAATCTTCCCAAGAGCATAGGGGTAGTTGCCAGCTTTAATTTAGAATCATCATTCTTCCCCCACACTCTTCTCCCATTTCAGATCTTAGAGGTCTGAGTCAAATACCAAAACCATTTCCCCCCAAGTTCCATTATGACCCTATCTGCAATTTGTCTCTCCAACCTGGGAAACTGCCCAACTGATAGTCCCTCTGGTTGTCTAACTTCTCTCTCAGACTCATCCTTATACATTTCTGAGCTTCTCCATCCTCCTCCCCTTCACTCACCTTCCCACTGCCCACCTCCCCGGCAGACCTGTCCACTGTGCCCTCTAGAATCCTGTTCCCTTATCAATAAACTCTCCTACATCCTCTGCTTCTTCAGAGAGTTTTCAGGTTATTTCTTTGCCTTTGTTGAAACTTGACCCTCTTCCAGGACTCCTCTTGTAGCCCCTTTGCAAGAAAGTTTCTCACTTTCCCACTCCCTACATCGCCTAAAACTAGGGGATGGAGTCAGCATTGCCACTCCTACCCTTCTGTAAGAATTCCTTCTCCTTTGCTCTTCAGCCATACCTCCTTCTACTCATCACAAATGTCACACTGGCCCCCAATTATTCCTTATGCATTGAAAATTTCAATCTTTGGCTTGCGGTTATTCTCATTAGCCCCTGCCCTGCCATCCTGACTTCAGTAGCCACGTGGTTTCCTGATCCCTCAGTCCTTGGTCTCCTCACATCACTTTGGCCACTGGCTCCCATGGTCACACCCTAAACTTCTTACTAATCCCAAACTAGAGCCTCTGTGATCCTTTTAAAGATTTTATTTATTTATTTGACAGAGAGAGATCACAAGTAGGCAGAGAGTCAGGCAGAGAGAGGAGGAAGCAGGCTCTCTGCTCAGCAGAGAGCCCGATGCGGGGCTCGATCCCAGGACCCTGAGACCATGACCTGAGCCGAAGGCAGAGGCTTAGCCCACTGAGCCACCCAGGTGCCCCGAGCCTCTGTGATCTTAAAATCAAATATCCTATACTACCTGTTCCCTCATTCCCTGTCTCTCACCAGGCCCTAGTTTACTCACTTCAAAATGGGTGTAATGATAATGACTATTCATTCTTCACAGGAATAATGAGATAACATATAAAACAACTTTTAAAGTTGTGAAACAATATGAGAACAGATGGTGTTGTGTTTATGTGGCCTCAGGTCTTCTGATTACTTTCTCTTTCTCCTTCTCCTGGAAGGCCATGTAGTAAAATGGAAAGAGCATAGAATTGGGGCCAGCTAGATCTTGTTTTCAATCCTTGTTCCACCAGTTGCTTGCTGTGTGATCTTATGCAAACTGCATAATTTTTTGAACACACAGACACACACCTCATCCTCATTTGTAGCAATAGAAATAATGAGAGCTACCGCCCAGAGTCATTGTGAAGACCAAATAAGAAAATGAGATAGCTGCTGGAAAGCACTTGATACAGTGCCAGGTACATAATAAGCTGTGGTTATTATAAACCAATGTTATTTTTAGCCACAAGTGCCTTCCAAGAAGGATAGACCCTAAAATACAGAAGGCCCTTTTGTCCTACTCAGGGCCTTGAAGGGTGTGGCTATGTAAGGGTGGGAAGATAAGGAGGAATACTATATTGCTCTGGGCAGAAAAGGGAGAATTTAGAATTTGCTTGGTAAAATAGGAGGAAGAGGAAATAAAGAGAACTTGAAGGGGGGAAGGAAAAAGATGAATAGAAAAATCAGTGTAAGGGTAGGGGCTACATGGGTCAAAGGTCAGAAGAAACCCTCCCATAGCAAGCAGGCAAAAGAGTGTTTAAGCTCTAGGATGCGTAAAACGAATATCTTGTCACATGTATGATGTGACCACTGTCTTTGACTCTTGAGACTTTAGGAAATGTCATTAAACTCAGGAATGCTTTCTGAAGGGAATACTGAAGATGAGTGAGTAGGGAACTAGTGCAAAGGGCTTTGTTTTTCTGAGTTGAAAAAGAAAGCTAAAGGCAGAGACTATGAGAGAACAGCCCTCATAGAATTTACAAAAAATTTCCAGGAAGGCTTAGAACTTACAAGGGCTATAAATATGAAAATTGAATTTTAAGCCCATTGCATTTAGATCTTAACGGGGCAGAGAGACCACTTCTGACACTTGAGCTGTATCAGTAATGTCCCCCACCAGCTATCTCCCAATTAACTAGCAAGTTTACACCAGAGAGAAGAACATATCAAATTATATTTAACTGTCTTCACTTCCAGATCTAAATGCCCAAATAAAAACAGGAAGAAAGACTTATTCTATCCCAAAAGTCTATCTTTTGCCTTGGATCAGATTGATTAATAACTGTAATCATTAAGGGATGCCTGGGTGGTTCAATCAGTTAAGCACCTGACTTTGGTTCAGGACATGGTCTCAGGGTCCTGCGTCTGCTTGTCCCTCTGCCCCTTCCCCCTCCCTCCCTCATGAGCTCTCTCAAATAAACAAAATCTTTAAAAAATATAACTATAATCATTAAGACCTTAAAATATGATGGGTTCGTTCATATATTTTATTTCATTTAGTCCTCAATACAACCACGCAAGGTATGACTTGTCATCCCATTTTATATTATAAATAAAGGAACAGATTTCAGAAAACTCAAGTGACTTGCCAAGGGTATATATCTGATAAATGGCAGAACCAGATACCAAGTCTGTCTGATTCCAAAGCTAGGACTCTTTTTTTAGACTTCAGAATTCTGGTTCCTCAGTGAACACCACTGGGGTTAAGAGTCCTACAAACAAAATTTCCTTAAGCCTTTTCTAATTGTAAGAGTAATCAGCCTTCTCCAGCTCCTGGTTTTTATATGAAATATAAAATTGATGCTTTTTATTTTTTTATGCTTTTTATTGAATGAGAATCAGTCGTTTAGAAAAGTTCGTATCAAAAAGGCAGACATCATTTGGAATGTTCAAATCTTTACAAGATTCAAATCCACAGCCCTGTATGAGTCCCTCATGACCAGCCTAGGAACTTAGGTGTGTTGACGGGTTAAATGTTTTCATCTGACCCCTTCAGAGGTTGCCTCATGCAATTAGGATAGGGTGCTTAAGCAGGTGCCAGAAGGTCACCAGAATCTGTAAAGCAGCTCTAGAAACACAGGGTTCAATGAGAGGAGTGGTGGAAGACAGGATGGAGAAGAGGCAGGGGCCAGATGATCTTAAGGACTCATAAATCATACTAAAGATTTAGGAATTTACCTTGCAAGCAAAAGGCTTTAAGCAATGGAGTAACATGGTCACATCTGCATGTAACAAAGAATGTTCTGATTGTGGTGGGTGTGACAAACCGGATGGGAAAGGTAGGAAGCAGGGAGCCGGCGCTCAGTAAACACGGAGTACAGTCAGAGGTTGCTGTGATAGTCCAGGTGAGAGATGAAGAGGATCAGAACTCAAGTCCTAGCAATAGGGGAAAGTGAAAAGTAGAGAGATTTGATACATATTTAGGAAAGATTAAATGGGAGATATGAGGGAGAGGGAACTGGCATAAACAACCAGGTAGACAGGGAAGCTGTTTACTGACAACAGAAGCACAGAAGATGTTTTGGTTACCTACTGCTGCATAACAAACCACTCCCAAAAATGCATGGTTTAAAACAGCAATAATGTATTGTTTCTCACAATTCTGTGGATGGCTGAATGGATTAGTCTGCCGGTTTTAGGTGAGATCAGCTGGAACTTCACCTGCACCGGGAGGTCCAAAACAGCCTCCCTCATGGGTCTGACAGTTGGTTCTAGCTGAGGGCTGGGTGCCATGGCTCTTCTCCAATTCTAATCCACCAGCAGGCTATCTTAGCTTCCCTGGCGGTCTCAGGGCACCATTCTAAGAGGGTAAATGCAGAAGATGCAATCTCTTCAGGCCTAGCCTCAGAATTGGGTACCAGCGTGGCTCAGTCTTTAAACATCTGCCTTCAGCTCAGGTCATGATCCCATGTCCCGGGATTGAGCCCCACATGGAGCCCCGCATGGGGCTCCTTGCTCTGCAGGAAGCCTGGTCTCCCTCTTCAATTCCCCTGCTTGTGTTCCCTTTCTTGCTGTCTCTCTCTGTCAAATAAATAAATAAAATCTTTAAAAAAAAGGGGGGGCCTAGCCTCAGAAATTGCATAGCATCATGTGTACTTTATTCTATTGGCCAAATCAAGTCGCCAGCACAGCCCAGATTCCAAGGAGAGAAATAAACTTCACCTCTAATTG